AACAAAATTGAGATCCTCCTGCCTTAGTCTGCCACAGTCCTTGGACTACAAGCATGTGTGATGCCTGGGTAAAGGAGCACAAACATTTCTTACAGTATCACACTTACATAACCTGCAACCACAATGGAAATAAATGAATTTAACATTGATACAATCTATCATGTAACATGCAGTCAAACTTTGGTAATTGTTTCAATATTGTCCTTTCAACACCCTTACCCTATTCAGTATCAAGTTCAGGGCTATGTATTTGCACTTGTTTGTCATGCCTTTTCATCTTTATTTGTAGAGCTGGGGATCAAATTCAGGGCTTTGCACATACTACACAAGCTCTGGTCACATTGAACTACGCCCCACCTCCTATTTTATCTCCTGTAATCATCAACAGTTCTTCAGCTTTTGTCACTCCACAGACATTGGTGGAAAGATATAGACTAAGTAGATTTATTTATTTATTTATTTATTTATTTATTTATTTATTTATTTTGGCGGAACCGGGGATTGGACTCAGATCTTTCTGTTTGTCAGTCAAGCGCTTATCCTACTGAGCCATCTCCCCGGCTCCTGACTAAGTAGATTTAGACTAAGTAGATTGATTGATTGATTGATTGATTGATTTAGCAGTACTGGGGATAGAACTGGGGATTGTGCTTGCCAGACAGCATAACTGATTTTATGCATTCCAGTGTGGGAAAATTGGTGTCTGCAAGGTTTCTCTACTATACTATTTCCCGTGGTTTTTTTTTTTTTTTTTTTTTTTTTTTTTTTTTTGGTTGGGTTGTTTTTTTTTTTTTTTTTTTTTTTTTTTTTATGTAGTGAATGTGGCTATTTCTTTTCTTTTCTTTTAGCGGTATGGGGGAATGAACTCCAAGCAAGCACTTAATCTACTGAGCCATCTCCCCAGCCCTTAATGTGGCTATTTCCGTAGGAGCCTTCACATATCCTTTTAACTTCATGGGGCCAAAAAAAGGGAGGGGCAGGGGCCCAGGAGATGGCTCAGTAGAATAAGGGCAAGGGCCTGAGTTCGATTCCTAGTTCCGCCAAAATAAATAAATAAATA